TGATCCAAACTAGACGGTGGCTCCCTCTCCCAGCCAGTGTTGGCTTTGCATGGGTGATGCAAGCAAAAGCTGTTAAAAAAAATACATTAGTCACTAAAGCAAGGAAAAGGGGATGACCAGACAGGGAGACCTGAGCTGAGCAAGAAGGGAAGTATTTCTATAGTTAACTCTCAAAGTAGGACTCACTTTGGACATCATGAAGTGAACGAGGAGCAAGGCTAAGACATAAACAGGAACAGAGCTCTGTAGCCTTAAATCCATGTCTACATTCGGTTTAAAACCAAACAGACATCTTTGGACATTTGTTCTTTAGCCTAACTCGATCCCTTTGGAGCCTGTTTCAAAGCACGGGGAACATCCGCACTGGCCTTCACAGGCATGTTAGAAACCTCAAGCTAGCTGGTAGTCAATTAATATGAGGTTAAAAAAAAAAAAAAAAAAAAAAAACAACTCGAGAAAACAAATCTCAAGTCAACATGAGCAAGCCATTCTCACTGCCTGCAAAGAGAAGCCTTTCTTCTTCAATTAACATTCTGCAGCCTCAAGCCAAAAGTATTAAAATGTGTCTACACTAAGAGTTTCAAATGAACTGAAACACACTTTTTTCCCTCTTTTCCTTTCTACACCACTATACGGGGATCACCAGGCACGTCTACACCACAGAGCTCTGCTGCTGGAGCAGTGCTGGCACAGCGCCACAGCCGAGGCAGAACGTGTCAAGAGAGGGGTTTTCCTCCAGGTAGCTTGGCTCTACCACCTCCCTGAGTGGCATGAGTTAAGCCAACGAAAGGCCTCTTCCGTTGGTATTGCTGGTCCTTGCCATGGCTTTTGCTGGCATGACTTTCATCAGCTATGTGCATGTGATGTCTTCGCATGCCTAGCCCACTTTGCAATGCCAGCAAAACTTCACAGTGAGCCCAAACCTCAAGTGTCGCAGATTCTGCTGAAACCACAGCCCAGGACTCCACTGACTCTTGTTTTTGACTTGCGCGCTGCTCTTAAATTACTGTTGTTGGATGAGGTTCCTCTCCCTACTTGCTTTAACTTATGGGAAACATGAAACAAAAACTGTTTTTCATTTTACATTATGTAGAGCGAAGCAATTCCATGTCTTGGCCTTGAAATACAAGACTCGCAACAGCTGTTCAGAGGCTCCACCAGATAAACCATCTGGCCAGAAGCTCACCTTTCCTGCTTTATTTTGGGTATAGATCAAAGCAGCTTGCATGCTCCTTTGGTCAAGGAGAACCTAGAACTTAAAGCTTCAGTGGCAGAATCACAACTCAGATATGCTGTAGTTTGTTCCCTGCTTTATAATATATATATAAGCCCAATCCAGCATACTTCTCTACTGCTGTTAGATGCAGATATACATGCAAAAGCCCAGGGGGCTAACCAAACTGCAGATTCGCACAAGAATTTTAAATGGGTGCTTTTAAATAATGTCTTACTGCAAAATAGGAACTGGGTATGTATTGCTATTTATATGCAGCTCACTTGGCCTAATGGCGGTCAAACCATCAGAGCAGAGAGGGGCTGTCAGGGCTCTGCAGGTGACTCCCAACATTACTCCAGGCAGGGCATCAGCAACTCCCGTTTCGAAAGCAGTCCCAACCAAAACAATGCCAGGTACTACAGCCAGGAGTGCCATCAGGAGACGAAGCGTGTGTAGGGTTTTTTTTTCAAATGAAACTAATAAGCCAGCAATGAGGAAAAAAAAAAGATGCATGCCCTATCAAGTCCGACTTTCCCCACGATTCAACATGTTGTTGTAATGCTTGTTGCATCCAGAGAACACAATCTGGATAAAAACCCTATTGTTTTAGATGCTGGGTGAGGAATGAGACTCCCAAAACACTCTTCCACCCAGCTTATGAGTGTACTGTAAGTCCCAGAATGACAGACCATGAGGGCTGGAAGGGAGCTCAAGAGGTCGCATCTAGTCCAAGCCCTTGCTCAACGCAGGACCAGCCCCACCTACATCATCCCAGCCAAGGCTTTGTCTAACCGGATCTTCAACACCTCCAAGGATGGAGAGTCCACAACTTCTCTGACCAACTTCTTTCAGTGCTTTACTATGCTCCACATGAGAAAGTTTTTCCTAACATCCAGCCTCAACCTCCCTTGCTGCAACTTGAGCCCATTGCTCCTTGTCCTGTCATCTGCCCCCACTGAGACCAGCCCAGCTCCATCCTCTGTGCAGCCCCCCTGCAGGGAGGTGAAGGCTGCTATTCAATCCCCCTCGGTCTTCTCTTCTGCAGACTCAATCAGCCCATTTCCATCAGCCTCTCCTCACCAGTCGTGTGCCCCAGGCCCCAAACCATTTTCATTGCCCTCTAAATCCCTTAATCTAGTCTTTTAATTTGAAAGAGCTGCATTGCACAGATACATTTGGGGTTTGTTTTTTTTTAATTGCCACTATTTAAAAATGCCAACGTTCTCCCTCTGATCCTCAGGCCACCGTTGACTGCCCAATATTTTTACAACAAAAGGGACTGCTGACGAACAATTCCATAAAGCATCCCTATCAGGGCCTGTCTTTCCTAGTTCTGTTACAAGTCAAGGACCGATGCTCAATTAACCACAGGCTGACCCTTGTTCACTTTCTTTCCCTCTCTTTTGCCCTTCCTGCGAAAGTTCAGCACTTCCTGGAAAAGTCTCCCTGCCCGTTTGATATTGTACTTCGCCTTAGTTGCTGAAGGAAGGATTTACAGGTGCCTGGCCCCGTCTGCAAGACCATGACCGAAGGCTGACCTCATGTTACAATATGTGAACTTCTGCCCTGCTGATAAGGCTGGCAGATATGAGTAGGATTTTTCAAATAATCCTTTGGGAATTTATAAGCAGCACAGCCATAAAACCGAGGTGACTGGAAGGTCGATTTCACTAAAAATAATAAATATTGCAGTGTTTATTCAAAGTGTGCCTTTTTAACTGCAGGCCAAGCATTTAGATAACGCTATTGTAAATGACAAATATTAGGATTTTTTTTGGTAGCTATTACATTATGATCCTTCCGTCTGACATTGATGTGACCATTTCCCTTGACGCTCGTCTGATCTTCGACATTGTTCCACACTGGCTCGGCCCGAGCAAGCCAGCTCCGGATTCAACCACAGGTCAGGAAGAGGGTAACCAGTCTCTCTGGAGGTCTCTACATAGTTTGGGTGCTTTATTTCCCTGTCCTTGCTTTCCAAACACATCTTGAAGAGTCTCTTCTAACTCTCTTGCTTCTTCTGGGCTTTCTGGCCGAGGCGCGGCATTGTGGGGGTTTGGTCATGTGGTCTCGGCATCAGCCTACGAGACGGGAACTCCTGAATTTTAAACCATTCACGAAATTTCCCCTGCGACTTGCCGTATCAGTGTTTTCACCCCCCCAAATCTGTCAAACAGGGACCATACCCATTTCTCTATCCCACTGGGGTCTGTGTTTGGAAAGTACTTTCCACCTCTATAATGCTAGGTAAAATGCTGGGCCCCAAACAGCTTGCTTCAAGCTTTTTAAGTACCTTGCTAGCATCTCCACGCCCACGTGCTATAGGTAGAAATAGTACACGTCTGCTGGGGGACTGTATTCTACCCTCAGAAGAGGGATAGATTTGATCTAATGCGACTTTTCCCATCTCTGGCTAGTTTTTGAGTACATTAGTGAGGCTCCAGATGCACTCTCTCCCAGGACATATTGGCTGAGCTAGCACATTAATTATGCTTTGCTCCCAGCTCCAGCAGAAAAGCAATCAAATCCAGATCTGCTGCATAGCAGTGCAGAGCATTGGCCATGAAACCCGTTTGCAAGAGGTCATGTTTTTTAAATATACCATAGTGGACCACACAGCCAAGGGCTTTTCAAGACAAAGAACAAACAGCAAATGCTGTAAGCATTATGTAAACCAGAAAATAATCTCATTGTCTAACGGCAAATATGTACTATAAAAACCATTACTCTGAACACCTACTGATGGGGAAAAAAAACCTAATGTCCCATTTTCAGCTCTTACATAATAGCATTACATACGCCCTTCCATTAAACAAATATATGCAAGGCTACAAGAACAGTCTCTGATTTTGCTTTAATTATACAGATACATCACTAAAGCTCTTCCAAATAAAATGACACTGAAATCTAGTGAGGGCTTCAGACCAGCTGTAATCTCCAATTAGCACACTCCCTGAACCAGGTTTCCAACATAGTATTTTAATAAGAGTCTTTGTCCAAGACAAATACAGCACGAGTACACTCAATGCAACACATTCTGGGTAGGTTAACTTTTTCATGCCAATAAAACATCACTGCAGAGTAGCCAAATTATGTAATTATTAACAGATGAAGAGACACAAAGATTATATATACATTTTTATGATGATTCCTTTCCCTCTGCAAATTCATTTGTACGTATTGCTCGGGGGACTGGCTTGAGATCTACCATAAAAGAAACAAGTCTCTCTCAAGTCTGGCTTCAGGGTAGCAAGCGAGTTTAAGCTGCTGAACTGTGCACACTCGTATGTACTGCCTTGGCTTTAAGCTGGCTGGCCGCTTGCAAAGAGCCCTCTAAAAGGTCTCTGCAGGAGTTTTAATTATGCAGGAGGAGTAAAGGTTGAAGCATCACTCATGAAGGCCACCTCATCTGCTCTTATTGAAAAGGAAATTCATTTTTATCTAGATACCTGCAACCAACACCTGCAAAACCATGCCTGGGTCAGCAATGGAGAGGAGCAAGATGTTAATTTAATCGTAAGGCTCTCGAGAACATGACCTGGGCCCACCAGTCTAGGCAGATCGAGTGTTTTGATTTCTAGGCTCGTGGACTTCAAAATGCAGATGGAAACTTAACTGAATCTGAAAACGCTGAGATGTATGTTAGGAGTTTTATACTGCCACCCAGAGTATTTGAGAGCGGTCCAAGAAAAATCATTTGCAACAGCAAAGACCCTGAGGGCATCATAGATCCTCTGACTTTTCAGGGAAAAAGCTCTGCCTGATGAGATGTTTGGAGGGGGAAAGGAGTGAGCAGGTTGGGTGGTTTATTAGTTACAGGCTATTATCTCTACACTTTTTTTTGTGGAGAGGAGTATTTGGCACATTTCTACCCACTGCTGTGAGTAGTGGGAAGGCTTTTCCACCATCATAGGTGACCAGCAAAGTTGAACAGTTGTTATAAAAATGTATCCTAACAACAAAATAGTGATCAACTAACTAAAGGGCAGCACAAAATGGTCTTTTTTCTTGAACAGTATCAAGATCTGTTGGGCTAAGGAAGACAAAGTAATGCAGATCTGCCAAAAAAACAGAACCGAAGCAATAAAATTGCAAATTATCAAGGCATTTAATGCTGCCTAACATTTTAACAAGGGAAAACTCTCCCTTCAAAATAGGAGAGGTGAAAAAAACCAGCCCAAAATTGCTCTTTCATGCTTACTCAATATATTGCTTTGTACAGATTTAACAGTTACTCTGGTTAACGGAGGATTCTTTTAGGGAAATAACGTGATTCAGAAATATGTATTTGGCTCACTAGAAACCCAGGAACTGCAAGGGTAGGAGAAAGTTTCACTTTATAACTTTGTGGTCTGCTAATATAAATTAGCAGCTTGCTTTTCATTCAAAACCCTTCCTCCGCTACAGCCTCCCAGGTATTGCCTTATTTCCCCTTAATCACATGCTTCTAATTTGAGAAAGCAATCCATTTTCTATCAAGGTGTATACTAAAAACACCCATGTATTAATACACATTATGCAACAACTTTTTCCCCAAGCATGTTGACGTGGAGCTGCTCCCTAACCACATCATTCAAAGCCAAGTCACACTTCAGTGCCACCAACACACCGCGCTGTGTGGACTTACCAGTACAGAATATATGTGCAAGCATCGGTGCACGGGGGAGAAGTCCACCAAGTCCTGAGCGCCAGGCACCTACCAAGACACCAAATTGAAAAAGGAAATGATTAACATAAAATGGACAGAACTGGTGGCGGCAATAACAGCATACTGTACATCAATTCAGCTACGCAATATGGAAGGGACTTGGAGGATTTTGTGTGTATTCAATCTTCAATAAATACTGTATAAAGGTTTATTTCTGCTAGCTGATAAAGTTTGGATTCATGCTACATCTACCATTCTGCTTCTTCCCTTCTTGAAGCAGCCAGCTAGAATCACCAGGGTCTTTTGTTAATCATTCAGCAAAGAGGCAGAAAATGCATCAAACCAGGACAACTAAAATAGCCTAAAGGCACAGAGAGCTGAGGTGCAGAGCTAGAACCTGCTACTAACCGTGCTTGGATATGGTTGGAAATTTAGCCTCCAGTGCTGCCGATCTGGCATTTTTCACCAACTTTAACACTGATGTAAAGACCTGACTTCACCATTTCTCAGCCATGTTGCAAATCCAATCCAGGGCTGGGAAACTACAGAAGGGAGAGCGAGAAAATAAGCCACAAATATGACATTGGCTGCTGTGGCTCCCCTGGATTTCCCCCTGGATTTTGTGGCTCCCCTGGATTTTTACAGGTTTGAGTGTTAGGTCTGCGTTGCAGCAGGGTTGATGGCTGTCTTATGTAGAGTTTAGATTATGGTTGGTCTGGGATGGTTAGGATAGGGATGATCTTGTCTCAAGCAGAAGACTGGACTAGATGTGACCTCTGGAGGTCTCCTCCAGCCCTCTTTCTCTAGGATTGTACTTTTGCAGGTTTTCACCACGTGATTATGGTCCAGGTCAAGAGGATTTGATCACAGCAGGCTTAAGCAGAGATTACTCTCTCTGGATAAATCCTCTTTTAAAGCAAAGATTAGATTTGCTAGTTCTACACGCACGCACAACTGGGCAACTACGTACGTCTCCTGCCCCATTCCCTCCATACCCAACCTCCCTTCCAAAAAAAATCTTCAGTCTTAAGCGATCTTGACTCTAAACTTAAACTAGGCGTG